ATTCCTGTACAGCAGTTACCCACTTGACAAAAATTCATAAAAGGAAAACTGCAATTCTTACTTGGTACTGCATAAAAGTGGCTTGTTTATACACTCTTCAGTTATGCTGCACCTACACAAAATATTCATTACTTCGGTGCAGCAGGTATTAAAAAGAACCTATTTCAACAGCCCCACACTTTAAAAAAACAATTTCTATCAGGCAAAACCTACCAGCTGAAAGTCTGCCACTCTTTACACTGACTTGTAATCCAAACTAGCGTGCAGACCTCCCGAATTCACATCTCCTCTAAAATGGTCTTAAAACATCCTCACATCCAAGTTACTTGCGGTAACTGTTTGCTGTTCATGGATTTTCAGTTGTTAGGTTCAGTCCCTCAAAGCGTGAATCGCAGAAGACTATTTAATAAAAAACCAAGCTTGGTAGACAGCAACATTACTATGCTATTTCCAGGCCATACATTTCCTCTGCTAGGAGATGTATGAGGGGGACTCGGGATTTTACTGAACTTTGGTTGCTTGCAGCGGTAGGAAAGGCCTTCCTTTAGCTGCTCAAGGGAGAAAGGCATGTTCTCAGCCAAACAATCATACCTCCCGTGAAAGAGTTTAAACAGGAACACAGCGTTTTGACGTGGCTTTTGGCTTTCTCTGGACACCTTACGGCTTCCCATTTTTGGAGAAAGAGTTTGCTGGAAGAAGTGCTTTTTGGTAATTCAGTCTGGTTATTTCTGAGCCAAAATTAATGGATGCACGTAAAGTTATGGAAGGGCAAGATGTCATATTTTTTGTTGTGTCTGCATCTTCACCTTCCTTCAGAAACGTAACACCAGTTTAAAATTGAGTTTTGCACAAAAACAATCTACTCCAACACAAGCTGATTTTACTTGCTGTTCTGTGATACACCGAGGTCAGCTGTTTAAGTAGTCTGAAATCCTCAGCAGCTCTGTTACTTCTATGTAAATATAAACGGAGAGAAGGAACACTTTGTCATTAGTTATTTTGTCCAAGAGATCAGAGATACCAGCAAGGTAATTATTCAAACATTACTGCAGGACACAAGAAAGATCAGGGGCTTTATCATTATCTGTATAGCATACATGAGATGGATTGCCTCAGCGTTAGCAAACCCCTTTATCATTTTTATACTAGCAGAAACTCCTTCTGAGGAAAGGAATTCACAGTAAACCCACATTTTGCCAGGTAAGAACGTCACACCCAGACCCATGCCTACCTGCAACTTCTTTCTCTGAAAGACAACTCACGGGTTTTGAAAAAAGTTATTTATTTTCACTGCTTTAATCTCTCTACTGTAGTGTTAGCACTTAACATAAGCATCCACTCTTCTACTGTCCTATTTACAATCCATTGAAATGTATACTCTACAAATACAATACATATTTTCAGAAATGTAAGGGAAATGCACAATTTTGTAAGGTTTAAAAAAAGTGACACTCATCTGTACAGGATCCTCAAATCATCCAAGAAGTAAAATTTACAAGGCAGTATCCACACAGCTATGTAAGGACAGGTGCTACAGTGACAAAGCAGCAAACTTGCTAATACAATAAAATACAGAAAATTAAAGTGTTTTGGGGCACCAGATAATACATTTAGTACCGCTGAAGTTGTAAATTTAGTAATACCCATATTTCTAGAAACATGTAACTGCAAACCTGGAGAATGTTCTGAAAAATATTAAACATTATATACACATGAGGTAAATGTACCTTGGTCTTTTAAGAGGTAATTTGAGTTTAAAGCAACTGATATGGTGAAGTTTTTTTGTTTTAAAACACAAAATGATTAACACCTTGCAATCGTTTCAATGGTACGATACAAACAAGGAACTAACTAAAAGGTGAATTTCATGGCAATCACACTCAGAACCATTACTGAAAAAAATAAAATAGCCTCTTGTTTCATTTGACACCTTCATGTCCCCACACAGTCAATCCCAATGTCTTTACCTATATACAAAGTCTTTCTTAGGATTACAAGTGGAACCATTGGAGGGTGACACTGTGTCATACTTGGAAAGTCAGCTTGAGAAACATCCCAGAATTCCAGCTTTTAAGGTTGGAAGGTCCCTGAAGAATTCCAGCATTCCAAACACAATGTTTTGGGCTTTTCACCATCAGACCATTTCCAATGCTCCTTATTCTCCATGTCCACATCCACCTGGTCACAAGTCTGTAAACCAAACTGAGGCTTCAATGCTACTAAAACGTCAAATTGATTAAATCCACAAAAACTTAAGTGAATGTATAATGTATGTAATATTTACAATAAACATTTGCATCAGTATTCATCAGAAACTGTTTTGGTATATACTTGAAATGATACAAAATTAATATTTTGAATGCTAAAATATTTTGGTCCCCCTGGATTTCCAAGAGCAGATCTGGTGATATTACAATCTTAATTTAAAAAATACTTATGTGTACCTGTGTCCATATATATAAGATATGATCTTACACAGGTAACATTTAAAGTTACATAATATATACAGACACAGCCTTTGTAAAAGGTGTTCAGTTTATATAATGGAAAAGAAGAACAAAGCTTGAAGTTGTGGTGTCAGAACTGAGGATACATATAGCTCTATTCAGAATTTTCCTGTTCAGCATTCCAATATGAATAATAAGGTTGTCCCAAAATAATATTCCTAACATCACACACTGTATCAAGCATCCTTCCTGTGCTTTGTTTTTGCAAGCTTCCATTACAAAGGGAAAAATTAGAACAATATAAGAATAGTTGCTAGCAATTCAGGAGAATGAAGACTGAAGAATGAGATGAGACATGTAACATGAGATGATGCTGTTCAGCTGCCACAGATTCTCTTTTAAATGCAACAGAACTGCTCCTTATATTTTAGGAAACTAAATGTTACGGTGATAAGGTTTTGTAGGTGCTAAAAAAAGCTACTAATGAAATTATTTGATGAATTATATCGGAAGCTCTCTCATGTTACCATCAAGATTACCTTAAAGATCTGAAGCATGCCAGCAGTCTAATGATTCTAAAGTATGAACTATACCATTTGCATCTATGGTAAAGATCCAGTTACGCCTATGAAAAACTCAAAAAGTTTAATTGTTTAAATAGAAAGCCTTTGAAATTAGTATGGAGATTAGTAAATTCTACTTTGATGCTGACCTGTTTTCTTCAAATATTTGTCTAGATACATAGAACTTGTTAGAGGCATGCGAAGTACATAGACTTGGGAGTTTAGTTATACTTGATCATTTTTTCAGAACAGTCATAATTGAAAAAACTCTGTGGTGCACAGCTGTCCATTTGCACAAAGGCATTGTTTATTTAAAATACCTACACGAAGCCATTTTTGATGCAGCTTTGACTGATAGAGGCCTGAAGCACAGAAGCCTGACTGGTCAGATAATGCTAAACAAACGTTAAGCACGACAGCTGTACATATGTTTAAAATCAATTGTTTTCTAAGAACTTCTCTTACTTTTTCTTCTTTTCCTGGATGCCACCTTCCAGTACGAGTAAACTCATCCATAAAGGTGGCTGAATAAAGCATTTCATTAATTGCAGTTCAACCTCTGAAGGTCTGTAATTCCCACATCAGTTAAACCTATCTCCAAGCAAGCACTAAGAATTTGGAAATACGCAAGAGTTAGCAAAGTGCTAAGGTTTATCTTGGCTAAGGCTCACATCACCTATATAGCCTCTTCTTGCTAGGACCCATCCATCTTACTGCTTTAACTACCACATATCACAGACCACGGAATACAGTCTCGACTATGCTTCTGTTAGCCACCACCCTGCCGCTGCTACTGGCTTTGTGAAAAGCTCTCTCTCAGTGGACTGTGTGCTGAAGAATGAAAAGAAAGCAGAGGGAAGGTTGCCGAGCATGTTGCACAACAGGATGGATACTGATGTGTTCTGGAGAGTAGGAGGTTAGGTGGCGTATTATTTACCAGGCACATTTACATACCGACATACACCTGAGTGTTTCAGGCATTAATGAAACCAGAGGTCAACCAGACTCCTCCTAAAACTGCAACTGAAAAAAAATATCCTGGTAACAGCAGTTTTTATTTTAAAGAGAATTTTCCATATTAATTCCCCCAGTTCCCTCCAGAAGTCGTACATTCGGGCAGGAAGCAATTCAATTTCTAAACGAGTTTGCAAAAATCTTGTGATATCCTTAAAATCTCAGGCAAATCTTGACTAAAGCCATGCATATTCTTCTGTGTTCTTATGACAACACAAGCCACCATAAGCTTTGTTCTTGTAACTATGAAGAGGATTGCTGGAATCCTCTGGTATTTGTATCCGAAGACCTGCAGCTCACCACTTTCTGTAGCTCACCACTTTCTGTGTATGAGGCACACACAAAATATATGCACATAAAATTTATAAGCAGCTTTGAACTTTCTAGTACAAAAGCCCAAATAACTTCTCCCTAATTACAGGTGCACTTAATCCTCGTTTAATTGCAAATATTGTTCTTTGAGCCTTAAAGACTCTGCAGAACTGCACAGAAAATATGCTTTTCATATTTGATTTAATGGAGCAAAATCTCCCTTAAGAACACCTTACTCCTCTTGCTACTTTTCTGAAGTAGATAGGTACTTCAAGCATTTTAGAAGTACCACTTGATTAAAAAAAAAAATCTTATATATAATTATGACTGATGACAATTACAAAATATGACAGTGAATTAATTAGCTTACACTATTTAAAACTCCTACAGTGGTTTAAAGAGTCAGATTTTGGTAAAATTAAAGGTGTTCCATGAATCATGTGCTCACTTGCTGAAAACGAGTGTGAATTAGATCTTAGCTAGGCAAAGGAACGACTGATTTTTAGCTTGTATTTTTGAAACCAAAAGTACCATAGGCTTTGTACGCTCCTACTATTCTGCATTAAAAGACTCAAAAGCGGCACTTACTGGTATAATACAATCTATTTTGAAGGCAATGTAATGTTCTGAGAAAGTGGAAAAACCCCAGTAATCACGTATAAAGTATAGTTGCATAAATTATGTTCCCACAACTGAATGAGGTCAATTTGTAAATCAAGGTAAGAGTCCAAGAGATATACTACCTTAATAGCTAGCAAAGTATACTCCAACAGTACATTCACAATCTGAATCAAAGAACCGTGACAGTGGTTCAGAATAGTCAATGTACCAGCCAGGAATAAAGCTGCTTAGAGAGCCATCAATGCACTCTAGAACAATACAGTGAACCAGTTCCATTTTAAAAGTGACCTCCTATTTTTAGCACAGTTAAAGAAGTTAAGACCAGCTATCAACTTTCCAAATAAAAAATTATAGGTTAATTAAAATAAAACTAGACTACACAATGTTTTGTAAGTAACCTGGGAAAGAGGTTCATAGTGCACAGAAAGGACCCAACACAACTGTTTAGCACGTCCACAAAAATCCTAGTAAGTGACGTTCCTATGAAGTACTAAAAGGCAGCAATATCCTTCTGTTCCCCCAATGAGGTAGAACAATTAACCTTCTTAACACGCCACTCTGGTGCAGATATGGATTTTTACAGTATTCCTCGGTAGCAAATCCAGGATTACATCTTTATCCCCTCCTGTTGACTAAGTTGCGATAATGTTTTCTTAATGCGCAAAGCTGTTAGCCTAGCAGCTCCGTTGGCATACCAGCATTCCCGCATAATTTTTGCCATTACTCGTAATGCCTGCAAAGGAAAGACAAGTAATTATATGTGCTGCTGTTCCAACATAGCCCATGTAACCTCTGTTCTGCCTTAGCCTCTTTATGCATTTCTGAAATCTGTTACTAGTACTACAGCTGCATGGAATTGTGTGTTGTATGAAAAACTAAAATTCTTACTTTATTGACAGAAAAATAAAATTCTTTAAAATCCTGTAGAGCATAACTAGTATTTTTCAGTAGAATTTCAGCCCATGCAAAAATATTTTAATGAAAAATTAGTAGCTTGCCTGTAACTGTTTTCTGAAATTTCACATTAGACAAAAATACACTCTTTTTTATTGTACCTCCAGTTAAGGAGTTAGTTCAAGGTAGAGCAATTCAAAGTTCATCAGCCGTCTTCCTCAAATTGAAGCTCTCTAATGACTCTGAAAATTTCTGGAGTCTTTTTATCCTTCAGACAGCCATTCTTTGAAATCCGTGAATGTTACTACACAAGTAACAATGCAAATAACACAAGAACTGAAGATGAAATAAAATAATAGCTCTACATTCCAAGAATTACTCCCAAAGCTGTATCACATTGAGCTGCTAAGTAAGTTTGCAGCATTGGAATGGCAGCATTTAAAAAACAATGACTTTACAGTCTGTTGGTGTGTATCATCGCCTTTCTCTCCTACTTGCGTTCTCTTGCCCAATCTGTTATCTCAGACCTTCACCCATGTATTCATTTCACACATGCCACAACCTAGTTCCCTCTTCCACCTAAAGTACATGGTATCTTATCAATCTCTTACTCCTACCGTAGCCTACTGCAGCTCTTCTTCTAAGCTCTGAATCAGAAAGCATTGATTCTAGCCCTGGCTGGGTTCCTAGAGCAAGCAATACGAACGAAAGTTGGCTGGAAAGGCAAGAGCTCGCTGCTGTGCATGATACTGTCCGTGCAGCGTAATGAGCTCACCCCAGAACCAGGTAGGCACTTCTACAGAGGCATGGTCACGTCAGGAGCAGTCGCTACATGCACGCTTCAGTTCTAAGCCTTTGGCTTACTAGAGTCTCAGCTTCCTAATAACTGTGTTCATCTTTTAGTAAAGTGCACACAGTACAAATTCTGAGACACACAAAGCACTAAGCCACCACAGTTTTGGATGAAAATTCCTAAAGGCATTTACTATTCTGGCCAGTCTGTAGGATATTCCTTGACTACACAACGGTAGGGCAAAGACCCCCGAGTGAGTTAGTTCCAAGTGAGCATTCACACGAGGCAGCACGGCACTGTTGAAGATACCATTTGTGTCCCAACGAGCAGTACAGTGCTGCTGCGCTGGCAGAGTATCGAGCTGAAACTAGCAAGTCCAGTTCTTGAAAGACATAACCAGCCTAGTTACAAACCAACTGGCACAGACCTGACTAGCTCATGTATCTTTACTACGCCTGCTGTGGGTTAACCCCAGCGGGCAGCTCAGCCCCACACAGCCGCTCGCTTGCTTCCTCCCCACTCCAGTGAGATGGGGGAGAGAATCGGGAGGGCAAAAGTGAGAAAACTCGTGGGTTGAGATAAAGACAGCTTAATAGGCAAAGGGGGAAAACCAAGCCAAAACAAAGAAAATCAAGTGATACGAACCCAATTGCTTACCACCATCCAAATGATGGCCAGCCAGTCCCTGAGCAACAGCAACCCCTGGAAAACTCCCTGCTCTCCCGGTTTTATTGCTGAGCATGACATTGCATGGTATGGAGTATCCCCCTGATCAATTTGGGTCAGCTCTCCCAGTCGTGTTCCCTCTCAGCCTCTCATCCACCCCCAGCCTACTCAGCCGCTGGGCGGGCAGGGTGAGAAACAGAGGAAGCCTTGAAGCTGTGCAAGCACTGTTCAGCAATAGCTAAAACATCGGTCTACTATCAAACTGTTCTGGCCACAAATCCAAAACACAGCACCATACAGGCTGCTCTGAAGAAAGCTAACTCAATCCCAGCCAGACGCAGTACAACCCCCAGCTGCAGAATTTATTTGCAGTGATGCTTCCTGTATAATATAACTCAGACTACCTTTAATTTACATTAGCATCACCTATGCTTCTCAGGAAGGGATCCTAAAATCCTCCACACAGGATTAGCTATTAATTTTTGTGAAATTACATTAAATATTAATGTATAACCGAGGATCAATGACATTCAATAAAGCCACAATGATCAGAATGAAATTAAGTTCTCCCAGAAGCAACCCTTCTCCCTTCAACAACAAGCACAATTTTTAAGCCATTGAAATCAATAAAAGCTCTAGTGTCCATTAAAACAGCTTTAGCAAGGTTAGTTAATACCTCACAGCTCTGCCATCTGTTTGGAATATTGGGCCTTAACTTCTGCTCACACACAACTTTCCTCATTTCTTCAACAGAAGGATCTGAAGGAACGAGGTCATAGTACGGCAACTGGTAATCTTCATGGATTCCTGTAATAGGTTGAAAATAGCTTTATTTTAGCTAACACTGTACTACATATTCTTCACTTTTTACTGTGTTCCTTATCAGTACCCTACTGTTTTCTTTTTTGGTTTTATTTTTTAAAAATTACATTACAATGACTGATAAATAAATTTAAAAAAAGAAAAAAAAATTCCTTAACCGTACCTTATGAGTATTTACATTACCCTTGAAGAACTTTTAATTTTGAAATTTATGTATTTGGAAAAGATGGAAACTATGTCAAATCTTTCATATGCTATGCTTCCAAGAAGCATGTCTTTAGTATATGATTTATAATAGCATGTTCTATTTTAAATAAGGTATGGATGTTATCTGAACACATTATAGCTAGCCCTTACTTGTGGTGTTTGCCCCTTGCTCTCAAGGACATTTAACTTCAGCCTTTTCTCCCCTCTATGTAAAGGTTTTAGAAAAAAATTAATATAGACAAGGATATTTCCTATTTTCTTCAACAGGTATGGTTCATCAATTTACAAAGAGGTCAAATAAACCAGTCATCATTTACAGGTTTAACAATTAGAAAGTCTGAGATGTACTGGCTATTACCTTGCACCGTTTTTAGAGCAAACTGTTTACTCAAACTTATTCAGGTTCTGTAAGTTACTTATAAATCCTTAGTATGTCCAATTTTGTAAAGATTGCCACATACCACCGATTGAACATCGCCGAGCTATTTCCCAAAACACTAATCCCATTGCATAGATGTCTGCTCGTTTGAATGACTCAAAATGTTTCATATTTATGGAATCATCTAGAACTTCAGGTGCCATGTACCTATTTGCAACAAAACAAAAAAAAAAAAAAAAGAGAAGAGAACGTTTAATTTCATAAATACTCACTGTAAGGAAAGTTCATGCTACTGATCAGCTCAAAACCAAATTTAAATACTTATGTGGAAAAGGACACAAAGGAAAATCTGCTTCATTAATGTTATCCAAACAAAGACCTTTCAGGGCAAAGGGGATAATAAGTAAACCTAGAGGAACGAGCACAACAATAGGGGGAATAAGTACAATGATAAACAGATAGAGCCATAAACCTGATAGACACAGGAGAACAGAGACAATAACACAGACCAAAAGTCTCCAGTTGCTAACTGATGGGCTATTAAGAAACTTCAGGCATAGCTTTAGAGGGCCAGTCTGGACCTTGTAAACTGCTAATAAGTGCGCAACAAGAGGAACACAAGGATTGTGGATATTCAAGGGAGGCCTGTGGGACTATGCAATGCTTATCAAGGAAAGTTTAGGAGAAGGGTAACTGGAACAGAAGTAGAGCAATAAAAAAAGGGTGTCATAGGGGCCAGCTGCATAAAGAGTTGCCAGTCACTATGCCTGTCTGACCAAGCCCTGCACCTGCTCACCGCAGCGTATCCTATCTTCTTAAATCCTAACTATCTTTCTAAGCAATCTCACTCTCAAGCGACGTGCACATGTGCTCTAAGGACTATGTGCCAGCAACTGGAGGCAGGCGTGAGTGAGTTCGGGGCTGGCAACTGGAGTCAGATGAGGGATGAAGCTGCCCTTGGGCATGGGGTGCCAGCAACTGCACAGAAGGAGGGTCTCAGCTGGAAGGGGAACTGCAGATCCCAGCAGTGCGTGTCCACAGGTCTTCGGAGCACGTATCTGGAGCTACTGTAATGAATTCTGGGCCAGCAACTGCAGTCAGACAGTGGGTGAAGACCCCCCTGGTGCCAGCAACTGGAGCGAACAAGAGTCTCCGCTGCAGCCGCTGAAGTGGTACCACAGCCTTCACAGTCACTCATGTGCTTACAGGTACCAGCTAAAGGGGAGAACTGGGATAACAGAAGCAGAGTAAGGGCCTCTCAGCACCGGCAACTGGAGTGGGAATCACAGGTCATAAGGTCTATGTGCCCCAGCCAGCTGCTGGGGTGGGCCAGAAGGGCTGTATTTCCCCCCAAAGCTGGTATGCATGGCAGGTGTGGATGGGTGTAATTCACTAGCAAACTTCAAGCTGTTCTAGCCAGCAAATAGGTGGCCCAGGCAGGGATGCTTGACAGGGGGAGGGCCTGTGCTGGTATTCGAGGGAATCCATGCACGTAGGTGTGCATAAAGGCACATGCATCTCTTTGCTACTGTGCATTAACCCAGCCCAGCTGGTAAGTAGGCGACCTGTGGAGCACAGAAGAGGGCATTAGACACAGCGAGGGTTGTACTGGTAGTTGGGGGATTCATAAACTTCCATGGGCTTGTGAGGCCGCAGAAGGGAGGGTGTGTTTTCACTAATGAAGTTCAATCCTGATCAGCTGAAGAGAAAGAAGGAGACTTGGCTGACTGTACTTATATTTTATACAAGTTCTGACAGTGTTTTATGTGGGTGTTGAAGACAACACATGGTGTATAGCAATCTGTGTAATCGGCCCTGTCTGTAGTGTATGTGTCTGCGTATGCCCAGCCTCGCTACTGGTTGAATCCCAAATAAGAAAGAAGCAGCAGCTGCATCCGTGGGCCTGGGATGGACAGAGCCCCAGACCTTTGGACACACCAGGCTGGGCTCCAGAGGTCAGGCAGGAGGAAGCGCCGGCTCCTGGAATCTGCCACTTAGAACATCCCCCAGCAAGACTAGAGAGGGAATACACACGAAGGGCTGGTTACAAAATCAGCACTGTGAAGGATTCCTCCGGAGGAAAGGCTCCCTGTCATTGCAGTAATTGGTTCTTCATCATACAGTCTGTAAGTCCCATCATAAAACATGGAGGCTTTTTTCTTTTTTTTAATAGTAAATTCTATTTGGGTTACACATTAACAACTGTGCTCACAAAAGTTTACTTTATCAACATTTCCTGAAACTGAAAAATCTGTCATGGACTTTCAACTAAGAAACAAGGACTGAAAACTGGTCATGGCATCCAAGTGATTGTTTAGTGACTAGGCCTAATGTGGGAACATCAAAAAAATGTCAGTGTGGACTGCATTCTGAGAGTTACTGACAGCAGCATCCCCACTGGCTGCTGGAAAGAATGAATGGTATTTGCTGCATCAGTCAACATCAGTGATAAGATTGCTCTCTCACTCTGGTATAGCTCTGGCAGCTAAATCCAATATGTAACGTTTAGCAGAGTTCAGTGTGTTTCTCCACATCATTGCCCCGTTAATCTCAAGCTGACATAACAATGAAGCAGGCAAACAATGACACCAGCACTTCGGAGAGCACGGTTAACTTAAAGCAACACACATAGATTACTGGAGTGGACTACAGTGTCTGACAATAGCTCAACCTCTGGAACAGCCACGGAAGCCTATGCACAATTTCACTTAATCAACATAATACTAGCATTTTCTCTTCCTAGTACCAGAGATGGTAGGCAGAATACAAGACACACTACTTAAAATAAATTTCAGGACTATTAGACCTTTAAGAAGTCTCTCAGCACTACTGTGTCCTACAGAAATGACATACGTACAAGGAAGCAAGGTCTACCAACAAGAGAAAAAATGCAACCAGGAGTCCAGAACTTCAACAAGGGTTCCTGACATGAGAGCTCTCCTAAGCACTGTACAGGCATATAATTCCCCAGAAGTGATAAACACAGCACAAGCAGCAGACAACTGTCTAAAGAGGAACGTAACATTTACTTTGACAGTATTTATTGAATGGAAGCAGGGTCTTAAGTTTACGTATGTCACAATCTTTGATATAGACAAGGCTTAAATTATTCTGGGCCACCCGTATCAAAACCTTTTTAATCAAGAATGCAAGATTGTGGTGGGTGTTTTAATGGTCTCCAAGGATTTTGCATTATTGGATAATCTTCTTATGCTACTTCATGTACTTGACAGTATAGTGATCAGCTTTGAGTCTAGAAGAAAGAATATTTGATCTATCTTAAGATCACATGGGGATGAGAAGAGTGATGGAGCTGGGAAAACACCAAACCAAAAACTCCAACCATGTTGCAAGACTGTCAGCCAGAATCACTTATACAAGCAGTAAAGGAGGTTGTCTCAGTTTCTGTAAATCATCTTAAGGACAAGGGTCTTAACAGGAAAGATCATAAGAGGCCTGAATGTGGCAATGGAGCTGAATTCATAACCTCAAAAGAAAAAAATCCATCCCCCCTCCCGCCCCAAATGTGACTTCCAATGAATTTATTGGCAAATTGACCTCTTACCATGATCCTCCATCAATGCATTTAGATTGGCTTTGGCTTTCATAACACAGAATAGTGACTAACTGCTCAAAAAGTCTGAAAGATTATTGCTGGAACAAGAGAGGTGAAAGGCAAGTAGGTCATCTAGTGCAATTAGCAGATTAGCCCTTTCACGGCTATCAGACAAAAGGGAGAGAAACATGCATCTCCTTGTCAGCTTATATATTGGAAATGCATTGCTTGTCAGAAACAGTATTTTAGGTTCTGGAGAGAGCTACTCTACATTGACTAACTTGGACCTTGTGAACAAGGTCTGCAGCTCAGTACCCTCCAAGAATTAAAAGGATAAGTCTACAAAGAAGTTTACAAATTATGTTGAGCATGGCCTTGCCAAACTTTGGGTGCCTGCTGACCTCTTACCCCCACCCTTTTTTGGCCCAAGAGCTCTGTTGCCTAAATTTCTTCTACAACATACTCGGAGCTTGGTGTCATCGAACAGGACCCATACACAACATGCTGAGTGTGACTTCTCCTTTCACCAAGCCTGTTGTCTACAAGCATAGCTAGAATTCCACTCATACTGGGTTTAGGTAAACTGCAGAAAAGCACCCATGTTAAGGTGGAATTTGCAGCCAAGCTTCTTTGAAAGACAGCCTATTTCAACTACCAAAAGTAACAGTTGGCCCACACTTCTCAAAAAAACCCAAACAAAAAAACAACAACAAAAAAAAAAAGGAGAATGAGGGGTTTTTTTTTTTCCTTGCCTCAGGGAGTGAGAGAGGGATTCTATTTCCTTCTCAGTTTAAAGCTCACATTCCCTGCTTTATGCTGCAGGCTGTGCTGTGAAAGCATACAGTTCACACCCTCTGGTAAAGCTAAGCCTCTGAACAGAAAAGAAAGATTCATTCAGAGAGAACGATCATCAGTCTGGCTCAGCACCTATATCACTCACCGAAGAGTGAGTCTTGCTTGCTCCCTAGACCATACATTTTTTACAACAGACAATCATTAGAAAAATATAAACTTAGCCAAATCTCCCTGAACTTGCACACAGAGCTTCCATGTGCAGAAGAGATACCAGCAGTGGCAATCAATGAGAATAAAATTGCCATTGAACAGGTAAGATCTGAACTTTATTATGAAAAATTGATCAGAGGTGCAGAGTTACTTAACTAAGAATGCACAAGAGGGAGGAAGAGGGGACCAAGCCTTTTATGAGAATGAACAATTTTCAGAATGGTAGAAGTGACTGATGTCTTTGAAGTGGGAAACAGACTTAGTCATGCTGCTGCCCACTGCAGCAAGAGAGTTACTACAGCTTTACCCTTGTCAAGAAGCATAAGGCAGATAAACAAGCAATTTAATAGCGCCTATGCATGAAGAGATCTTGTAAGTGGGATCTACAGACACAGCTGAAAGGAGGCTTTCTCCAAAGGCTAGACTAAAGAAAATAACTGATTTGCACACCATTTTTCTTTGCATGTAGCTGTAGTAGAAAATACTAAGTCACATGTGGTATGTGCCCTGCACGCAGCTAAGTTCGCATTGACAAATTCCACAGTAGTCTGCTGTTTTGCTGCTACCAATGATTACTGGAGACTTTGAGAAGGAATAATGCCCGCTACTTTGTAATCTAGTAGTAGTTCAGAAAATAAATCTCATCTGACCATTTGTGTGGTATTTTTAAAGTTGGCAAAGGACTAGTACAGCAGAGCTTTAAAACAAAGTAATTTCAGCAATATAATTGTCAGTAAAATAAATTTTCAGTACATGTTCTAAAAGCTTCTGTTCACTGAGCCTTCTTCCAAAAAGCCACAGCTAAAGGGGCATCCTAGTTCATTGTAAAACCCCAATCACCGTTCCCTGCCCCCCACTCCCCTGCAGTATCACTCACTAAAGAGAGTTATTAAAAAAATACATTTTTTTATGTATGGATTGGAGATTGGGCAACATCAACACAGAATTTTCTCCAACACTGCTAGGGCATATGCTGGAGTTAATCACATACAGCCCTGAAACTCTGGGCTTCCACACATTTCTCTGTGACAGGCGTACAAACTTCAGTTTGATGTATCACTGAACCCATAGGCATCAAAAGGACAAAAAGGTTGCCTGCATCACACAACTATGCTGCTGTGGTTCACTGTTAGTGCTAGTGCTACTGTCTCTAAATGCTGTATAGCTGCACAGATTACTAAAGGAAATTAATCTTCTCTTCAGAACAGCTTCCAGTTATTATTGTCTGGAGGTTCAGCAATGATAAATTACAGCCAGGAAATTTACTTGCACTTGTGGTTGATGGAGTTAAAGAGCTCCGAGTTCTTTTGAGACAAGAAAATCCATATTGCCAAATTCAGAAGTAGGCCTTTAAAAGAAAGGGACTTATACTGACTTATCCGTTGATAATTCTATTTATGCATTAGATGACAGATGACTGCTGTTTTAAGCTCTTGTACTTCTCTCAAAAATATGATCCCATGAAAGACTGCATCCAAGACACTGCACCTTTTATGTTCTACCACATAGGCTTCACACTGAAAAAACCCCAGCTTTTTACTTTCACTGTCAATATCCTGTCTTACATTCCAGGCTGGGCTGCAAGCAACATTTCCATGCAACACAAGGCAAAAAGAATAAAGATATGGCAGTGAAGTCTCTAAAACTGCCATTCATGAAGTCTCCTAATTGTTTTAATATATACTTGTGCCCTACAATATTTTGCAGATTTTCAGTATTTACACATGCTAGTAATAGACGCCAATATTCAACATGCGTTTTAAGCACCTACTGTCTAACTACATTACCAGCTGGCAAGGAAGTGTCTAGGAATTCTACCTGCCATTGTTTACATTTTCCTGTTGCTTGTATTTGTACCCACAAAAATCTTCTATATGGGACAAGACAAAACCCAAAGCATTTTATTATAATGTCACCTGACACATCATTTTAATGATTTTACCTTTTTGTTCCCACTCTGTGGTTTGGGGCAATATCAATTGTGTCTGTAGCAGAATCGTGCCTAACTGCCAACCCTAGGTCCGCAATGCAGCATGTTCCATTCTTCTTTACCAATATATTTTTTGATTTCAAATCTCTGTGGGCAATCGCTGGTTTGCCTGTAAGGGGAAAAAAAAGACCCCAAACCCAGAAATTACACATCTGTAAAAAGATAATTGCTATTATTCTAAGCCTGGTGCAGATTTTGTTTGAAGTTACAGAATTCCTTCCAGTTCTACTGCTTAATATGCATCAAGGTAACTCCTGAAATCATTCACTGTGGACTGGCTGGCTGTCCAGAAAAGTGCCTTAAACATCTACCATATTACTCCACTCTACCGCTCCTTTCCCTCTTCCTGCAAGTATTTATTGTGTACACATACTACCTGCCACAAAAAAGTTTCTTATCTCTCTGGAAATAGACCCAGAGTGCTGTCTCAAAGTTAAGAAGATAGTACAGGCACCATTACTTAGTGCCTTTTAATAGGTATTTTGTAGGAAGGATTGTTACATCACAAAACCTGGGTATACCACAGAAAGGAAGGTAAAAAACCTTACAAATTAAGAACTTCTATTAGTTCAGAAATTATCACAGGTCCCAAACAGACATTTTTCAATTCACTCAGCTCCAGAAAGGATTAACTTGGGTATCTGTGCTGAGTTCAGCTGCCTTCTCATCACGTAAGTAGCTGTGTGCAAAGCAACTACACTGTGAAAAGGTTCAATGTTCTAATTAAGAAGAGAATTATAGTAGGAAGAGCTACGTATGTATCATTTTTAAGAAACCCAGTATTATCCACATGACAAGTTGAATAGTTTTAGATTACCTTGCGTGCCAACAATTTCCATGTGAAGATGAGCAAGACCACTGGCAGTGGACAAAGCTAATTTTATCATTCCTTCCACTGTTACTGTATACCTGTTCAGGTAATCAAAGAGTGATCCATGCTCATGATAGTCTGACACCAACCACAGCTGAGTCCATGTACCATTGTCTGCAAAATAACACTGGCATGAATACCACATATACACACACAAAAGACAAGCAAACCATATATGCCACTTTTATACAATGCTTATGAAGTACAAATTACATTTTGCAAGTAACCTCAGCCAATTAGGCTCTCAAATCTTTACTTCTATCTCCGTAATATTTAAATGCCTCTGTAAGGGCTGGGACTACCATGCAAGACTTTCTGAACAGCTTAGTGAGTATTCTCTTATTTAAACTAAAAGATTAACCATAGAAAGCTGACGCCACTGTGATTCTGAGGTGAACTATTCAGGTTATTAGCCAGGCCCTGCCTTCCTCTAACTTTTCTGCTTGGGGGGAACAGTGCTGAATGCATGATACAGAACATCCTGTCACTATCGGTCTAATACAATACTGTTCAGGCTACCCATAAAAAAAAAAAAAAAAAAAAACATTCAAGCTTTGCCCCATGATGCCTTCAGTCTTCCCATAACCTCTCCAGCTTCAGCCTGGGAGATAATTTCCATAGCTACCAGCAGCTGGTAGATTTTTCCACCTGAAGCAGAAGCTTGCAAGCAGCAATTTGACACACTACTTCAAAAACAAAGTCAAATCCCACCTCTGGTGACATCTAAGTTGCTGGCCAAAATTGAGGTTTCCAGGAGGCACAAGGGTAAAGCGAATGAAAAACACTGATTATGAGAAAACCAGTTTGTTGTATGATTTTTCACTGAACTATGAAGAACAAGATTATTCCATAATACATTTGCAGATATCCGAAGGCATACAAGTGACATAAGAACTAAATTGTTCACATTATTAAACTAGTGGACACAAAATACCTTGAAGTTTAAGCCACAGAGAGAAGACTATTAAAGGAATTAGAATCAAGAGGGGGGGGGCAAAAGTGTTTTTTTTTAACCTAAGAAGTAGAAATACACCCAGAAAAGAACAATCCTGACACCAAATAGGTTTTCCAATTTTGTTTTGTTATAAAAACCACTCTCGTGTGGCAGATCTGAGAAGTGGTTTTATAGCTAGCTACTTTTGTAGAACAGTCTTTCATCTCTTTAAAAGGCTAGTTATCCCATAAAAGATTTTAGTTGGACTTTTATCCTGAATTACACAGCCACTATTCCCTAAGAACGAGTGACAAAACTCAGCACAAGCCAAAGAGATATCTCATTATGTGGTAGTCGCTAAGGATTATCAAAGTGCGTACTCAAGAACTAAATATGAAGAATAGTAAGGAGAGAAAGGAATTCAGAAGTTAGTTCCTACCATAAACATACTGAAAAACTTTTAGTTTCCAAAGAAGAGGTTCTTATACTTCCTTCCCCTCTGCCTCCACTCCCCTCAAAGAACACACTTGGCCCAGAGAAGTCAGAGGCACTAAATGCCTGATCTACAGATTGACAGAAACTACCTTTATAGAAGTACTTGTGCTTATCTTTAAATAAGCACTTGGGTGGGGGTGGGAAAACTTTCAAGCATCCCTTCTACTTGGATGTTTCCAGGGAGGCCAGTGATGCCATTAAAAATAATTTTTAAAAAGTAATTAAAAAGCCACCAAATCCTTCAGAGTCGGGAAATAAAAATCTAATCTACATTCAAACCATTCTCATAACGGGAAGAGAATTTTGCCTTATTACATTCACAGAATAGTCTCAACTAAGTTGCTAATTTAAACAGGCAAAAAAAAGCAGTCAAATGCTCTAACCTGTAAAAGACTGTTAGAAAGCTGCTTTTGCAGTGGGAAGCTTCTTATGATATGCCCACAGAAGTGACTCCTAAACTTTGTTTTTCAAAGAAAAAAGGAAATTAAAGATTTTTTTTTTAAATATCTTCAATTATTTTATAGTTAGGTCTGCTGCTTCTTTTGCTACTTCACATACCCGAGCATGAACTCTTAGAACTCAGCATACTATTAAATGCTACTTTTTCCAAAGAGAATTATGGTCTCTGAAAAGTCAGTCCAACAGTACTAGCTTCACTGAACCAGTTTTACAGAACTGTATGTGTTCACAGGCATATAAAAGGTGCTCTCAAACACACATAGTCAAAGAGCTCCAAAAAGCTGTAGAAGTTCAAAATAAAGTAAATCAGTTCAGAATATTCTCCTCACTCAGTTTTATTCTACTGCTTCACCAGTTATGACCTTGCATTGCCTGAAATAATCTTCTCCTGGGCATTAACACTATACACACTCATTGCTTGATCCCGTATTTGATTTCTTCTCCTGTTTCTTATGAATGGGATACCTCAGCAGGTGTCTAAACTGGACAACAATAAGTAGGGAAATTAGTAATCTGATTTTAAGTAGTCTACCACACTTGTGGTGTTTAAACAGATCTTTTAAAGATATCATGAAATTTCTGAAGAACTATCATTGCTTCGAATCAAGACTACAGTGTCTTTGCATAGTTTTTCCCCTCTTAACTCTAGGTGCCCACCTAAGAAGAGCATATGCTGCTGATTACAGACCCTTCTACTTCAGTTTTATCTTAATTATTAGCTGCAAGTCTTAATATTCAGTCTGTTTTTACCTTCCTTCCAAAGGAGAAAATATAAAGCTAGGCTTACTATCCATTCTGAAAGGAGCCATGATTCTTTACTGTTTTATGTCATATCTGTGGCCCTCCAACCAGATTTTAAGAAGGGATAGTGTTACATCCAAGCCTACGTGGATAATAGTAATGACTGACAAGCTAAAATGCAGCAGTAAGTACGGTGCCCAGCTACTAGATGGGACCTAGATTTTTTTTACCTTGCTGTATTTGACAAGCTACACATTTGTTTAGCAATCTAAGCAGAACACATGTTATGACGCACTTAAGTTGTCTTATACTGTTGACAGTAGTTAATTATTACCAAGTAATAATAAACCTGACCCTGAGTATTTTTGGCTGCACAGTAAACAGCATCTGTCATGATGCTTTCAATCACAGGATTTGCATTATCAGGTAAGAAAAAGGAATTATGCTCAGTAGTAATTACAGAGTAGCACAGCCTTCCATGACGAGGTAACCTAATTTAGTTCATATACACACCATGATCAAGAATCTCAAGCAATTTCAGAATGTTCGAGAATGTTATAAAAATTTATGTATGTTCTTGGAAACCTATTTAAGAGACTAACTATGGTTATTTCGTCTGTTTGCAAGAAACTTTTAAGTATTTTAGGCCATCAAAATCACTCAGAAGTAAAAGCTTTTTCTTTTGCAGTTCTAACAAAATTTGAAATTCCGAGTAAAGAAGCTTTCAGATTTGTTGTTAAGACTGATTACAGTTTGAGAAATACATTAGTGAAGTCCAAGCAACATCCATCTTAGACGAGCTGTCTCTTGAAAAAAGGAATTTATAACAATTACTTTATCAAATATATAATCAAGTTTCAATTAGTAAATTCAGTCAATTCAATTTTAAGTGAAAAATGCTTTTTTCACATTGGTACTAGCAAAACAAAAATTTGGACTGGTCACATGCTTATTTTTAAACCAGATACTAGGTGTTAAGGTGTGACAGTATTGCTTGGTAGAAGAGTTTTGAACTGCAGACTTATGTTCCAAGTTGAATGCTTAAAAGAAGTTACAGAAACTGCCTAATTGCAGGAGTTCCCCAGTGTCATGTAGTAAAGTGTTTCAAAGCAGAGAGTGGGATACAGTAGCCTCTTCTGGTGTGCAGATAATGTAACAGGAAAAAAAACAGGAAAAAGCACTGAAAAGATCAGATACAGAGGGGATCTAGAACTAGAAAACTCTTAGAAATGAGATACTCCGGGAGATGTTGGGGAAAACACTTTTGTCTGTGGCTGCAAGAGGACTGATACTGTTAGCAAAACAGCTTGACTCTATCACATTGAGAAAGTCATCTGATTAAACTGATGAAAAGCACTTGAGCTCCATAGCTTAGCAAGATCTTCCAGTCAAATTCCTTCTTCTCAGGCTAAAGCCAGAGCTTCAAAAAGAATAAATGGTTCAAGTATTACTTTTCTCAAGAGGAAGGAATTCTGCTCATTTCTCCACAGCATATTGCATAATAACATTCTTGGGGATCTACTTACCATGTACGGTAGTCTGACTGAACAACTTTCACCTAGGGAAGTGCAGCTTTCAATTAAGGGGAAGGAATGGAGAGGCCAAAGTATTTCAGTGCATAAAGTTACCTGAAACTGTGCAGTACAAGACTTCACCTTACTTGTAACATGACTACAGACAATTATGGTTACAGACAGCTAATCCAGGGAAACCTTTAGTACTGTAAATGGAGGTTGCTGCCCCTCCTCTTCTGCTAGTAGAATAATGCAGATAAGTAGTCATGGATACACTTTACAATTAAGTATCTAGGTTAGAAAGAACAAAACAAAAAAACCCCACCCCAAACCCAAATTATCTGTTTAGGTGGTTCAAAACAAGGCCATACATGGCCCAGAAAGCAGTCTCCCTGACCTAGCAGTATTTGAAAGTTCGCATATACTCCTGGCTAAGTAAAGAGCTACCCAGAACACAAACATGCTAGCCAGACAGAACACAACTGCAGTTAAAAGTGCTTCTCAGCCCTCAAGCTGGCTTAACAGCAGCACCAGTATATTTTGGGACAGGAAAGCAGACAGATCAGACCAGCTCCTGCAGCATTCTGAACACCATACAGCTGTGGGGAAGTAGGGGAGGAGGAAGAGAATGTGCCATGAGGGCACATGGAATGTCTAAACCGTGTAGTAGAACAAGGAGTGAAGAGCGTACTTCAGTCACAAGCTTTACGACTCCACCATCTGAGCTGAACGCCACTGACAGCTGATCTATCTGTGCTTGGAAGCACTTTCTAATCTATACATGCACCTTCTACATGAAGGCACCCCCCTCACCTCCCCAATTTTACAACTACTATGGCCAGCCAGATGTTCCCCAGCAGCTGTGAAAAATATGCAGTTGCATTAAGAGGAGAGACCTAACTAATGCCTTTACTAGTAGCAAGAATTGCAGCATGACGCTGGCCCACATTTACACCACAAACTACATGTCAGGAGATACGAGTCCTCAGCATTCATGATGGATACACAGTTCTCACTCCTGAGAATTCTTCTCCATGTATCACTGAAGCTTTCAGCAAGCACTGAATTGGGATTGCACAAGTAACACTGAGAATTCTGCACTGGTGGGTTAAAAACAATGATCCAGCTTCCCCCATCTGCTCCGACCGCAATGCTGTTAGAAAATAGAGTCAGGAATAGCAGCATTTTCAAAACACGTCTTTATCCATTTTTTGTAAACCAATTACCAACTAGTTCAAGAAAACAGAAGAGCCTTGCCCTAAAGCTTTAAAGCCTCAAATAATGGCATGACCTACCAACCAAGGATTTTTTCTTTGTATGTACCGCATATTAACAATAGAAACCAGAAACAATTCTATATCACATTATATTACAAGGAATCTAAAGATGACCAAGTCAAATGGAATTTCATCCTGTTGCATCTGGAACCTGAGCCAGCAATCAGGAAATTATTTTAGGAACCCACTCATTTAGGAAACCTTCCTCATACCTCCTCTGTACAGTAGTCAAATGTATTTTGGGGACAAACTATCTATGGGTTTGGGGCAAAATGGGAGACTGGCTGGGATGCTTAGCCACAGATAGATTTTGTTAAAAGTTACAGATAAGGTATTGCAATATACCCTTTACGTTTTAGTGAGACATAGTACCTAAGGCTTCTGCAGGGATGAATTTTCATTTATGTCTTTAATGCAACTGATACACTAATTTTAAACTCAGGCTCCAGATACTCCCCTAGGTCCATCAGAACAAACTCAAGCTGTCAGGAGGTGCTATTAATATCCAATACAACTTGAGGCAAACTGAAAGTAAGACAGTTTCTAATAGTAAGCATAATAAGCTGCAGGAAAAAGCTGCCTAGTATGCTGTAGATCTGCAAGCTCTTGGAGGTTAACAAGTTGCACAAAAATCTGTTATGAGCAAGTTAGCTATAGCTAACCCTTTCCTGAAGAAGGGAAGTGTTCTGCACAACCTCTTGGGTTCTGTTCCAATTCTACAGATTTCTGTAGATATAGAAACTTGAAATTAATCTAGTGATAACTAAAAAGAACTCTATTTACATGTATACTTCAACTACACTAAAACCATTTAGGAATTTCCCACAAAACCGAGAGCCCTTTAAGAATCCAGGATGTGTGTGAATTCTTGACTCCTCCCTAAGGTGACAGAATTTTCTGTTAAAGCTTTCTTTACAAAAAAGTCAAAGGCCATTTGTGGTGAAACATGTAATTTCAGATTAAAATAACTGAATGAAACAGCATAATATTTTAGCCTCCCTTAACGTGAGAAATTCAAAATTGTTGTTAGTTTTGCCAAATTTTCGTGTCTTAAATTGGACTGCAGGAAAACCCAAGCAACTTTCATCTCACTGAAACCACAATAAATCAAGTTGAAGAAACGGTTAAACTCTTCCTCTTAGTGGATACTTAAAGGCTTATCAGGAGAGCTTCAGGAAACAGGTACAGTTTTTAATACTAGGAATAAATCATTAATTCCCTTTTTCCAATTTCTTTTCTAACTGGAGTTCTAAATGAATATCTCATATCTCAGCCTTAAAAATGAATCCTCTACCTCTTACTTTATATTAGGACAACAGGATTAGACATGATCTCTTTTGGTCCCACACATGTATCTTATTAGGCTATTAGGGAAGTACAGGTACAGGTATTAAGCAGATGTGTGAGCTGACAGAATAAGGCATTTCTTTTTTGATACCAAACTTAGTGAGTATTTTAACTTGCTTGTAGAAATTACACCTCATTAAATATGCAATAATTTTTTTTAAAGAATTAAACAAAGCATGTTTTCCAGAAAAAGGAAAATGTACTTTTTGCCTTCATTAAACCTATGAAAAGCTTGCCAAACTCTGAAATATTCTAGTAACAAAATTATTTTTTGCTACTTTTAATGGGATCCTTACAACTTTATCTTCCCCTCCATTTACCATCTATTCTGACTGGGTACACAATCAGCTAAATGAATTCATAGTATCACTAACCTTTGTTGTCTGCTGCTATAAATCCAAGAATGTTTTCATGTCGTAGCATAACTGTTTGATAAATTTCTGCTTCGCGAAACCATGAGCGTTCCTCTCTTGAAGAGAAGATCTTCACAGCAACTTCTTCTCCTCTCCACTTCCCTCGCCAGACTTCTCCAAAGCGACCCTTACCAATGCTTTCTTGAAGTACTATAGTTCTTGCAATTGTTCTTTGCACAAGTAAAGGTAAACCTAAAAAAAAGATTTAACATTAACCTTAAACATCACCAACAAACAAGCACTTAGCATAAGTACTAAATATAAGATCTATATTCCATTAAGATATTTCTTTTAGAATGCACATAAGCTCTCCTAAGATTTTAACAACTTGTTTTGCACTGCTAACAAGCAAGTAGGTAAGATGCTGCCTTCAACCTTAAAGGCCAGCAAAACAAGCACTCAAAGATATTATGCTAAAAACTGCCTCTACAGTTGTTAAAAAGAAGGCACAAACTTCCTTCCAGTTTAGAATTTTGACAGTTGTTGACCCATAAAGTCTTATTTTAATGAAAAGAGAGAAACAAACCATGAAGCAATCAGGACCAGGATTGAGGTTTTTTTGTTTGTTTGTTTAAGAAAAGGGTCTGCCCATAACTCTCCTAGCAAAGCAGTTCAAGAGCACTTTTGCTACTGATTCATTTACTTGACATGACTTGGTCCATTTCCAAGCTAAAGTTAAACCATGCTTATCATCAACACTGTTGAAAGTTTACACGTGTGCCCAAGTATGCCAGTAGCCTGTTAGTGCTCTCAAGCCACTGTAAAATAGGAAAACATTGTTGTAATGCAAGCTTCCCATTTTACAGGCCATTCTTGTGCACCTTGCTATAATTATACTTGAGAAAAATGCTTACATTCATCAAGGTTTTTATAGCTTTGAAACATCTATGTGCTTTCAACTCATAGCACCTGATAACATGCCGCAGTAAGTTTATACAACAAACAAGAAGCACTGCCATCCCTCAATCAGGGTGGGGTTTTGTTTACTTTAAATCTTTCCTGCTGTAACTGCAAGGCTTGTCAGAGAATTCTGCAGTGATACTACACTGCAGGATGAACGTATCAGCCAGGTTATCTGCTCACAATAAGCTCTTTTGGTATAGGATTATTTCATTTACAGAGTAATCTATTACTCCACAATCACTGTTCCAATAGCTGATAGAGCAACATGTGTATTGCCTTATGCTATAGAAAATAAATCCCAACTAATAGCTCAAATAACTAGTTCCTGTCCGTCTCTGGACATTGTTTGCTAGTTAACAGCACGAGGCAGACATCTGATCGGGTCACCAGCATTATCAAGCTTGTGTCTCAGTCTGAGGAGTGCAAATTAGAACACTGCAGTGTTCAGAGGAGTTCAAGACTTCCACACTTATAGGAATTTTCTGCATCATCTGTGCTGACAACATACCTACGTGAAGAAAGGAAGGGGAAAAAAAGGACACCATACCAGTGATTTAATCACTCATGTGCTATAATAGTTCTTACTGAGAAAGTTAAAATTTTTTGCTGTAATAGCTGTCCTCAGGTCAATTGTACTGCATGCCCAAACTGTAAAGGCTCATCTGTGAGGCCTAACTTCATTCTTTATGGACAGACTTCTGACATGCAGAAAAGGCCAGACTAGAACAACCACAGGATCAAACTCAACCCTGAAAACGTAAAATTGGACTTTGTTAGCCAGAGAAAGCTTCCTCCTTTGCACTTATGTACTACTGCAGAATCCACTGGCAAATGTTAAATACAAGCTGATTTTGTATACTTGAAATGGGTGACATGCCTAGTATTTTCTTTTTCCTGCAGCTGTTTCAGTAAACTGTACATTTTCAGATGCACTCCTCTTAATTTGCTATACCATTTATAGACATCCCTTCTTGTTTAAAAAAGAGGCCCAAGGATATCAGCTAACCTCTAAACAGATACTAAGCTCTAAACCCTCCAGACATGAAGCACTTCAATTTCAGATTACAAACCCCTAACCATCATGTTAATATGTCACAGTACAATAAAAACCCTCCTAACTGTGATCTATCCACCTTGCTCCTATACTTATTTTTAGAGTACTTAAAAGATTCAACTTCCTTCTGTTTTTTGCAACTGTGCTTTCTCTTACCACTGCTGCTGAACAAAACCAGAAGACTGGAATCCATATTTATATTACATCCGTAAGAATTCCTTACAGACTTTCTGTTGCAACTGACTAGCCTCCTCTTTTTGCTATAGAGGAAACACAGCGCTGTATCGCCACGAACTTGAGCAACTGCTTTACCATAAACCAGACTGCCTGAGAAGTAGCTTATTGGAGGTAGCTACGTTAGCTTTGACATACACACCGGGCACAACTGTACTTGAAGCTCTTGGGAGTGCAGTTTCTTTTAACCGTGCACGAAGAAAGATGACAGTTTGCTAATCAGGACGATGAGAAAATTCAAGCCCATGTTAAAATCAGCAGCAGCTCATAACGTTTAGTATCTTGTCTTCAGCCACAGTCATCCAATTTACCCCTGAAGCCTTCATCATCATCTTCATACATCATTAACAAAGTATCCTCAAGCCTTCTGAGAGTTTAACAAAAGAGTTCTTTTTCTTTTCCATATCTTCACTGTACTCTGATTAGTTTGGATCAATGACTGTCCAACGTGTAAGAAGTTTGTACCCGATTTGGATAATTCGGGAATTAAGGAATTAAGTTCTAAAGCGCTAAAAGTAGCCAACAAGAACAGCTGCTAGAACTTTGTTCTTGTTCATATTCTTGTTTGTAAGTCTCTGCCCAGAAGACTTCCTCTTAAGACTAATAAGAAACCCCAATCCTGGTAAAAATCTCATTCCCTTCAAGCTTCTATGAACCACAGGTAAGTTTTTTAAGGAGTTTTACAGTCACTTCAGCTGACTCAACTTTACATTGATCTTTGTGACCCTTTGGATTTCTAAACACTTTAAGTTCCTGCTTGAAGTCACCTACCAATAATAACCAAAGCTTCTCCCTGCTGTTTTAGGCAATTATTCCTATTTCCTTGCAACTAAGTTACTTTGCCATTTGTGAGTTGGAGACTAAGAGCTGGGCATCCCAGTCTGTCTATACAATATGTAGTTGATATTTAGAGATTTGCCTCATGATCTGAAAATCATTCTCAGCTCCAAAAGACTTTTAAATCCTTCTCTTAGAAGCTGCGGCTTGAGCAGAAGGATCTATTCTAGATGTTTCATCAATTCCTTTCATCAGGCCTCTAGCTGTTTCAGGTCTTGTTCGTCATGGAACAACAGGGCAACGCTAACAGAAGTCAAGACTGAATAATTTATAACAGCTTACTATTCATCATTGCAGAAAATGAATCCTACTTCCCTTTTGACCTGATTAGGAAGCTCATTTTTAGAGATCTGATCACCTCTCTGTTTTATATGCTTCTCTTCAGAGAACACTGTAATATAAACCTGTAGAATCCTTTTTATTTGACTGTGAACTCTTTCGGTCCCTCAGTATGAATTTAAGAGCAGAACATGTACTTTAGGTCACCAGGTCCTCAGCTGTGCCTCTTAGGTCTGGATTATTTTGTCTGTTCTGTACATTTCCATTGTGTTTCTTGCACCTCTCACCCCAACAGCATCCCTTTCACACAGTTCAGTTTCTGCCAGGGTTAAGCTCTATTTTAACTAGCAGCTCTGACTTTTCTTCCTTTAGTGACCCTGTTCCCCACCTCCAGTTTATTCCATAAATGTAGTCTTGTCAATTTTAAATGTGCTGTACCAAAGTCTGGATTAAAATACACATTTCAATGAGATTCAGTTGCTGCAGGCGTATTTCAGGACAGAAGAAAATTAACAGTTCAAGTGCTAGGACACTGTAAATTAGTCAATCAATGACTATATAAATTTTGAGACAAAGCAATACAAGTCATTGTAAATATATACTCTGCCAACAGTACAGAAAATAAGTACTTGAAGTACTTCCCATCCCACTGTCATAATAAAAGGGAAGCATAAAATACTAAATAAGGCTAATACTTGTCTTACAAACACCTGAACAACATGGAACTCACTGCAGCTGAAGTTAAAAGATCACTCTTATGGGAACACCCAGTCTTGTTTTACAGGGAACATGACTTTGTCTTTCAAGCACAAAAACAAACCAGTGAAGAGCTTTCCTTAGGGGTAAGTAAAATTCAACCATATCTGTTGGTTTTCTTCCTCTGATGCAGCCATCAGTAGCCAATGCTCAAATACTGTAGTAGGTCAGGTGCTCTGGGAGGCTAGACCAGCTGGAGTGTCCTAAAGCTCTGAAAACTAAGTAATTCCACAACATGCTGCTTTGACTTAAAGTGTAATTTGCAAACAGGCAAGGGAAGAGTCAGTAGTTTCTAACCATTTGCTCTGGAGGAAGAATCTTAAGTTTCTTGAACTGGGATTCCCCGCTTTTCAAGACCTTATTTTGAAGCAGTACTTCCAGAGTTTTCAAACATGAAGAGAGGCTCAGAAGCGCCACAGGGAAGAAGGCCAGAAGGAAAATGAAGGAATAATCCTGACAACAAATGGAAAGACCAATTGACAACTAAGTCTGATGCAACATTATTGTAGGCCTCACTTCTGATCTAAAGCAGCATGGGAAAGCAGCCATGTAGAAAGTGGCAGAAGTGCTGTGATTACCGACAGAAGTTAGAAGGGAACTATCAATCAGACAGTACACATACCAATAGCTACAGATACAAATTAACTTTCGGTTTAAAGCTAAAGAAAAAAACTTCACAAATTATCTCAAGACCACAGAAGATGGTAATTTAGATAATGCTGTGCAGAACAAAAAGGTAAGTGACTGAACCTTACTAATAGAGGAAACAAAGTATTTACAATAGCTGACTGTGATATTCCCTGAATATCAGACTGTACTCTCAGAATGACGAGGAACAGTAGCAGCAACTCAAAATGTTTCTTTTATTTCACATATTTCCATATATTGAATCTGCACTGATATGGAATGAATCTACATCGAAGTAGCTTTTCTAGTCATTTCTCCAGTTAATGATAAGTTTAAGTAGACTTGACAATATTAAAGAAATGCAATGCCTTACAAGGCTCAAACACAAAGCAATTGCTATTAATAGTGTGACATTACCTGACCCGGAGCCTGAAGTTGTCATATCATAAATTAAATCCTTTAAAGTAGTTCCTTCGGATATAAAGGGACGATCCAGTGAGGGATCTTCTTCACTTGGCACACGATGATGAATTACAGTACGGTTATGACAAAGATATAGAATCAACATTAGTGAAATGCAGACAAAGCAGACAGGTCCAGCAATGACAGCAGCCAGTTCCACAGGTCCTAGATTAGAAGCTGGTTTTCCTGGAGTAGGGCCTAACAGTAAAAATAAAAGAAAATGGTAAAACTATTTCTTTCTTTTTATGCAGCTAAGTTTATTGTATTTTACAGTGATCTTCAAATTATTTCGATGTATTTGTTAAAACTTTTGCACAATAACTTTTTCAAGAATCAAAGTAAGTATTACAAAGGACAAAAGCAACTATGTGCTTACTCACAGTTTCCATTTAACTTGCATATAAGTCTGCAAAACCGGCCCTAACATCCCTATCCAGAAGATTAAATTTCTTGTTCAAAACCTCTTGAAATTTTACTTGAAGAATCTCAGGTGTATTTTAGGCCTTCAAATTCACCTACAACTTCAAAACTGAAACTTCTGCTCTTACAGAATTTTGTTTAAAAAAAAAATAAATAAAATCAAATATGCCAAAACCCCTTACCTGGTGTTGGAATTGGAAGTTCTATTTTATTGCAGTGGTCTCTGTCACAGCAATGAGGCACAGTAATGACTCCATCTCTGGAGGAGGGGGCACAAACAAACGGCCTGTCTCGGGGAATCAGATCGATTTCTGCTATACACATACTGTTGTGTATGACTTTGTCTGCAGTTCGTGTCACTGAGGTAAAACATAGCCCATCTGTCACACACGTGAAGTTGTCTTTTGTACATAGATGGCAGTAACACTGTAATGCTGTATTGAGAAAAAACATTAATGTTAGTATTGGTACATGTTCTGAGTTGAGAAATAACTTGAATGACTAAAGAAATAAAAGTTCTAAAAACTAGGAGGCCTATAATCTTTTTCGTTACATAAACACGGAACTGTAACACTACAGAACAACACAACAAGGCCTTTTAGTGGGACAAAAACAAAAACAAACAAAAAAAAAAGAGAGATGAGCAGATGAAAGAAAGTAAAATTTAAAGCTAAAGTCATCTCTTCTTATACAGTTGTGTATTAAAAGAGACAGCCTGCAATCCTAGATGTTCCTCCAGGTAAAGAAGTTCTATTATAGTTCCCCACACTAAAGATCTAGACTCTTTAATAACACTGCATCCTCTATAGCATGCAATTCTGCTATTTTCAAACCAAATACAAATAATGCCATTTTTTTCACAATAACCACGGGTATTGCTTTAGTAAGGGACAAATAGGATGCTGCTGGCTATCCAAGATTAATACTTTATACATTACTCGATGGCTTCAATTTTGTGCTGAGGGAAGGGCATATACAGGCTTAATCCTCATTAAAAGAACAAACCCTGAATGACCTGAGAACACACCCTTTCACACAAGCAGAATATAGTTTTGACTTGTTATTTATGAAGCCAGAGGAAAACACTGCCTTACATTACTCAAGTTCCTGGTCTACTAAAGCTATCAACTGCACTAGTAAAAGAGGGGGCATGGGGAGGGAAGCAGGAATTTCAGACTAATCATGTCTAAGATCATCAGGTTTCATTCTCTAAATTGCAGAAGTTCTTGGAGAAGGGAGACTACTACTTCAAATTTCTTTCTCTATTCCTTCCTGCATTTACAGGACCAAAGCCAGGCAGAAAGCAGTGTAGTAGCAACAATAAAAATACCAATACACTCTGACTCCACTTGTTTATCTGCAGAGAGCAAGAGCTAGCATAGAACTTGTGTACATGCATGCAGAAAGATTAAAACCTGAAATTTAGACAAATTTAAAACCTTAAACATTCATGCCCAAAACACAAAAATGCACTGAGCCATAAACAAGCCTCTTTCAAGAGAACATACAAAATCTTACATCAAATGTGTGAGGATTAATAGCTGGCAAAGCAAGAGATGCCCTCAAATCTGAGATCTGGTGTTCCACTCGAATTCAAGAGTTTAAGATAACCACCTGAATTGCCTTGGATTTTACACCCCTCTCTATGGTTGGATATCATGCACTCAAATAAAAGGTGATCTCAAATACATATTCCATCTCAAAGGCTTGATTCCGAGTTGTACCCCTTTCTCTGAAAAGGCCTCCTTCCCCCAAGATTTTGAATCAAAACAAATTATCACCAGTCATCCTCTACTGTTACAGAGAAGACCTAAGGTTCTTAGGACTCCCTACAGAAAGACAACCCATGTTTCAAAGAGTCACCAGCCCACAGACCAGTCAGAAAAAGGGAGAAAAAACCATGAAAGGGACTGCAAAACTATTTGTTTAGTATGAAGTTTACTGAACAAATAACTAGAAGGTATATGAAATGAGAACTGGGAAACGGGAAGGTAAAGCTTCTTAACAGTACTGTGGGGCAGGTACACCCGTCCTGACCGAGACCAAAACTCCCCAACTGCTCCAAGGAAAGAGCCACCACCAGAAGCCAAGGTCTGGGGGTCGAAAGCCCCTCGGCTGAGGGATAGGAAAAGCAAGGTCCTTTGGTCAACAGACAAGGCTCTCTGCCAGCGAAACACCTCAGTCGAGAAAAGCTTCCAGATCCCCCGACCGCAGGTGACCACGAGCCCCGATCCAGCCGAGGGTATAAAGGCAGCCCGCCGGGAGACCCCTCTTCCTCGGAGCCCGTCTTCGGAGTGGGGGGTCCGCAGCTGGAGACTCTCCCCTCAGATGGGGACGTCGCCTCAGGGCACTCCCCAGGGCTGAGCGCCTTGCCTTATCGGAGAGTGATCTGTGCATTTTAAGTCATCTTTCTAAGCTTAGATTTGGTTAGTTTGCATAGGGATAGCTCCCAGCTGACATCCTGAGCCTGTAAGTTGTGTTCATCGCAGTATTTACAACCTAATATTCCTGTCCAATCTGGCTGTTATACCCCAACAGATCATAACTATTCAAACTGACAGTTACATTTTGATATCATTAAAGAAGAATGACTTCTGAAATATATCGTTGCCTAGTGTTTCTGCAACAAGTACCGCTTTTTGAAGATGCAATTTCCCACCTCCCCATCAGAGAAGTAAGGAAAGTCTTATTATTCAGAGTTTAACTACAAGAACATTTAACAGTTATTTTCCTGTTGGTGTGCCTTTCGTAATTTACACTTGAACAAAGTATTTTTTAACCCATTAAACCCATTAAAAGTTTCCTAAAATATTCACACATTGATATATATATATGTCAACTTTCTTAACAAGCAGGCCTTTATCTCACTTACTTTGTACCCATGACTTTTTTTTTTCTATTTAAAGAATATTCTTGGCTTATCCTAACTGCGCATGCATCTGAATGCTTACAGTAAAAGACAGATATTCATAAGTTACACTGAGTCACTGTACAGAGGCCAAGTTATTTGAAGTGAAAAATGAGGTTTGGGTTGACCTTGTTACACTTATGCATCTTCCCAATCTTGTGATGTTGTAGAAAGACACTGATACCACTATGACTAAGTAATGCATTTGGTGTCTTATCTTGCTCATTCATTTTGTTCCCATCTCTCTTTTGCTAAAGAATTCCCAATGAGTGCAATTTGATACAGTTTATACTTTTGTTCCAGTTTGATGCCACTATCTTCTAGTCTCCTGCCAAGACACAGTACGCAGTCACACACAACTGAATGGTTTCCTTGGCACTGACAGATCACTACTTCCTTCTGAAGCTACTCTCCCCCTCCCTTAAAAGCAGAAAGCAATGCCTAAACAGCTGAATGGCCAAAGCTTCTAGGAATACAGGTTTTTTGCTGCTCTCTAGTGGACGTACTCTTAAAAAAAATTAAAAATGCTTCAGCCCCCTTACTACTTACTCTTGCCACTTAAAATTCTTCATGCCTTCCAACTCAGGTGGGTAACAGAACTCCTGTATTTTACTAACAAGAAAACTAATTCAGAATCTTCAGCAACAATCCATATCAGGAGGAGAAGAAACAGAATTGGAATGTCCTTGCCCATGTCTCACTCTCCGGTTGTCTATGCGTAAAAGAACAAAGACTATGACCGTATAAGCGTGTTGTAGATGAGATTTAACATCAGTGGGATGAGGAGATGTCAATGACCAACTGTAGTTAAATCACTTCATTCCTATAAGGAAGTGTTTTCACTTGTAACTGATCTCAAGAAAAACATATCATACTGTTGTCCTCTTGGAGATAAAATTTTTTGCTTTGTCTCCAAGTAGTCCATGTTCTTCTCAGAGAAGCATTACAGTAATTTTAAACTCTCAGAAACTAGTCAGGTCTTTAAGTTGACTTAAATGAATACATACATTTCTAGAATGGGTTGATAACAGTATGCAATGAAAGAATGGCAATGCTGATGTAAGCTAATCTTCCATAGCCAGTAACGTCTTTCAGGTATAATGTATTTCAATACATTCACTACATTTGGAAAACACCCTTTGAATCCACTACCACAAAAAAGCTCCTTCAAAACTACTAAACTCAAAGAGGAAAAAAAAAAAGTTTTCTCTTAGTCCATCTTTTCCATGGTGCAGAACTTTTTTTTTTTTTTTTTTTTTTTTTTAAGTATTACAACAGTGTTTGGATGGAACCACTACCATGAAGCTCCACTACCAACTGCTGAAAGGTCATGTCTGTTTAAGTGATATGAGGCTTGGGAACTGAAAGTACAGACAGCTAAATGAATGCACCGAAAGTTATATAGACAACCACTGACAAAGCCAAGAACAGAAATTGGGTCACCATAGTAATTTAGTGCCTTCTCTACTGCATTTCCTCACTGCGCCATGACCATTCTACATAATCGTTCCTGCTTTATGTGACTGACTACGATTACAGGAAAACAGTGAGACAAAGCAGTTATAAAACTGTGTGTGTGTGCGCGTTATGACACATATCATTTCATAGAAGTCATCAACAGCATACTTCTCATACCTCAAACCGATTTAATAATAGATTAACCTCTTCTGTTGAATACAATTACTTGGGTAATTGCTCAGGCTCAGACTCTCAGTTTGACAGTTTTGTATTCCCTTTAAAAAGCCTCTCTTCCATGGGTGCTGCAGCCTGGAAAGCCCACAGCGAGGGTAAAGCAAGCTGGCAACATAAATGAGACACTGAAACGACGCAGCTTGACAAGACTTAAAATAAGCTGGCTCCCAAGAGCTCAGATATTAATACTATATACAAAACGTGAACAGAGAATTAAGTACACCCTGTCCACTTAACTTTCAGAAGTCCGTACTGTTAGGTACCTATCGAAACAGTCTTCTTTTTTGTATCTGTTGTGTTTCTGAAGTAAGAAAATTGCACGAAGCCTTTATTTTTAGAATTGCATAAAACCCTGCGAATCACTACATAGTATGTGCTAACATCCTGCAGAACTACTTCAACCAGACAGTTTAGCATAGAACACCACCTCCAGCCAAAGAATTTTTGGTTGGAAATCCTATGTTGAAATACCGTCTTTCAAAGAATGCCAACAAAGGGTATTAGAGCAGTTAAAATTTGTGAGGTGCTCTAAAAAAACCCCAAACCCACATCTCATTATGCATAATTAACAATTTTATATTAATAATACTTTGATTTATTTCAACATGTATCTTTGTTTTACGAATTTAAAAAAGACAAATAGTCTCAGGTCCCCAACAGCAGCATTATGCTGAAGAAGAAACTCAAGATCCTTCTCCTGTGACATTACAACTCTTCTCCCGTGGAAAATACAATTTTTGAACCCAAAATTTCACCAAACAGTGGAACTTCACCAGAAGAACAACTGGGACTCCTGGTTCCACAAGATGCAGAGTTTCAAGGGATAAAGGAGCGGGGCTATGACGTGCAAGAGACAGTAATAGATTTTGGGGAGATGAGCAAGAGGGCTGTAGTGTTTAATGGTAGTTTTTTTCCCCTATCCAATAAAATTTGCCAGAAGCAAAAAAGCCTGACACCGAAAGGTGCCGTCAGCTTCCTATTCTCTGATTCAGACAATCCCCTCAAACAATACACCTGACTCATCTCTGAACTCTTCTAGCTCAAGACAAAAAAATGTTTAGGTCTTACAATATGTGGGACATGGTTACATTTTTTTTTTTTAACCATGATACTTCATGACCTTCACTAACTCATCTCACAAGGCACTAATTATGTTTAACTGTTGTAAAGCAACAGTACTGGATTTCAAGTTTTCAGGACAACTTTCACATACATTTCATCCATCTTTGTTAAGCAAAACTTCCACTGAAAACAGCAGGTTTTGGCGACCGAAGCGATACACTCAAGAAAACAGACAAATTACTTTATTAAGGCACTATCCTCAACAAGCAACGATAGAGCCTTGTGAAAAATCCCAGCTTCAAAAAAGCAGTATTATATTCTCTGTAGTGCAGGTGCCAAAGGGCACTAACAGTTTTTTTGCATCTCATCCATAAAGCTACTCACAGATACGTTCATGCCTCTTACAGCAAGATACATTAAAAATTTGTTTCTGGTATCTTTCATAGAACAGTATGCTTTAGAAAACCAAAAGAAAGTTAAAATTAAAAGCCTAGGTTATAATTTTACTAATGTTACGAAAACAGAAAGAATAAAGATCTTCATCTGTACTTTTAATTTCATTTCAGCATACAAGCCAGATTTCCATCTTTATTTGCAATTAGGAGCAATTGTGTGAATGCAAGAGTTCCTAAGAGATGACTCCCCAGAATTCTGGAGAGACCAAAGACTATGGCTCACACAGTTTAAAAAAATAAAAAAAGCTAAATTTCAGACTCTGTCTTACAAATTAGGGCTGTTCTTCTGTTCAGCTAGCTGCTGTGATTCATTACACGTCTGATCTCCATATAAACCGTATCACAAGACGATTCATTCATGCAATAAACACTAGTATACTGCAAAACAGCAGCATGAGAAGCAATCAGAAGATGCCTAACTTTTGTCAACCCATGATAAGAATACTAAGTAACAGCAGACAGATCATACCTTGCACTTCTTTGTCAACTTAGACCACAATGTTCAAAGAAATTAACCCCTTTACCAGTACCAGGACCTGTCTATGAGTTATGGATCTCTCCCCCCACCCCCCCACTCCCTCAGCTAGGAAGGATTTATCTTTTCTTAAACAAAAGGTAGCACACCACCACTTCCATCTTTAAGCTCTTCTATGGAAGTCTCTTGCCTTGTTGTCACATAAAGCTTTTAGACCTCAATTTCACGACTGAGATTAGGTGAAAACCATTGATTGATCAGAGGCATTAAAAGGGCAAAGAAAAATTCCAAGCTCAAATCAAGGTAAAATTTCCTTCAACGTCTAAATTGGATGCGTTACATAAGGAAGCTTTAAATTATTAAAGCCTGCTGCACCTTTTTAAGAACACAAGAACCGCCACGGTTCTTAAGCTTATTTCACTGTTTCCACATCAAAAATTCTTCCTCTTCTTCAAAAATAACATGGACAATTAACACAACATTTTAGTATAGCAAGTTATGTTTTAAGTAATATTTTCTTTACAGCATGAGTACCATCTTGGATTGAATGATGAAAAGCATGGATTTTTATCCCTGTCGAGGGATGTCTCAAAGCTGTAATTGAAAAAGGAAGTTGCGGTGCTTCTCCTCTTCCTCTTTAAACCCCAAATCAATACACAATCCACCTACAGAAGAATTTCGGAAGCAGACTGATTATGGAATGCAGTTTGTGGATCTGTCATCATCATCATCTAACCTTCTGCAGATGAAACTGAAACCTATAGAGTAGGGTGTCTGTAACGTTTGTACGCCGCGTTAGGACATACGGCCCAAACTGCTAACCAAAGAACAAAATGGGCTTGCCTTTTTTTTTTTTTGGTGTTAAATAGAAAAATATCCATTTCTCGCATTTCTGACTCCGCACGCCGGCCCTGCAACAGCACAGCTCTGACACCCCATCTCTCTCTCTCGCAGGAGAGCAGGGGTGCAGGAGGCTGGAGGCACAAACCCCCGCTGCAGCTCCAGGCTGGCCCAGAGTCCTCGCCGCCGCACACACGGCTCCGCTCTTCGGCTCCAGCCCCGGGATCACCCACCGCCACCTCACCGGCACGGCACGGCGCCTAACGGAGCTCAAGCATCTGACGTGGGAGTTCGGGGAGTCTTTTTACCTTCGCTACGTGGAACATTCAACACGTATCTCTCCCCCAGCCGGCGCCGCTCGCTTCTCCTCCCCCGCGGCACCCTTCGTAAGCGCCCTGCAGCCCGCCGAAGGGAGACCCGCAAGGCTCGGCGGCGGCTTTTCCCCGCTCCGAAGCTGCCTGGAGAAGGACAGGCACCTTCCCCCCGGGACGGAACGGGGTGGTGGTGGGGTGGGGGGAACGGGGACCGTGTGTGTGTGCTCCGCCACCGATAATCAAGTTGCCTTCGCGGGCCGCGTACCCGCCTGGGAAAGGACGGGCCGGGGCCGGCGGGCTCGGGAAAGTTACCCCGGGCGGAGAGCACCCGAGGGGGCACCGGCGGGGGGGTGGCTGTCGAGGGGAGCCCGCCGCG